AGCATCTACTGTTTTATTTTGACCGAAAGGTGTCCAGATGTGTGAACTTTCTTCAATACTGTTTTGTGCAGAAGCTAGGGTTGCTTCTCAAATCTTTAAGGTTTAAATGCGCTGCAGATCTACACATTTGTTGCACAGTGTACAGGATGTGTGTCTGCACTATCCCAGTCCACGTTCACATGATAGAGAACGAGAATCGAGTACGTCATTCTTAAAATCGACACAAAAATATTGCTCTAGTTTGCCTTCTCAACCTTTTGACTTTTGTCCTCGCACGTTCTACAAAACACTCAAGGTGTACTTCCCGCGTGCGTTCCATTTTCACTCTGGTAGCAAACTCTCGTAACACGTGTCGACACAGAATCCGCGAAAGTGAAAGCGGGACCTCGGGTGAATACCGTACGAGCAGCGCGGCGGCCGGGAAAATATTACGGGGTGAAGTAACAAAACTCGCCGTCCTGCTAAAGTTTTTCAACCAATCAAAACAATTTTTTCACAAATAACCCCCTTACTGACTCTTAATACAGCACATAAAAAACTGGTTACAATCTGATGTTCATGAATGGAAAAAAAATCCTGATTTTGGAGGAATCCGAGAAATACATGCACCACAAGGTAGGGTTAAGTACAGAGGCAGTGTGTGTACACGATTACAACTAGAACCAAACTAAAGGGTGCGTGTTATTGGGGAGAACCTGAGCTTTCATTTGATACCTCACACACCCATAGTGATAGATAAGAGGGGACATTTACAGGGGTCTAAATCAAGTGAAAATTACAGACTTTCCAACCGAAACCGGCTAGCAGCGCTATCGCCCAGGAAGCGATGCGTGGCCCGACTGTCAGGTGGGATTTATGACCCCGGGAGGTCAGCGGACGGGTCAAACTAAGTGCTCCACAAGGATAGTAGAACTGAACAGCCGTGTTCTTCAATCGCAAATATCTCGACTTCTATTCTAGACAAATGGATAATATTTTCATTGAAAGCAAGGCAAATAAACAACCTTTAAGATGATACCAATAACGCCATACGCCCAGAAATTGACGAACGCCTGATTCCACTGCGCCATGACACATATGTTTTATACCATAATTAACACAATTTGGCTCACTGAGGAAGCCAGACTGCCCCCACCCTGCTTGCCAAGCCCAATCTGGGCCCAGCATAGAGACTAAGATAACAAATAATAAAAATACATCTCTATACGGGATTCCAATTCATTTCTGTTGAGCATCACAGTGAAAAGCCTGATCGCTACACCATAAATACCATGAGCACGTCTTATCAATTTAGATTCTTGTATTTTCTCATTTATAACGCAGGTGATTTGAAAAGAATAAAAAAGAGGAAGCAAGTCCAAAAGTATACCCCCCCCCTCCCTCCCACACACAAAAAACACTTTACACACGCCAAACAGCCAGTATATGCCCCAACAGAGAGAAAGAAAGGCTCGTAGGATTTTCTCACATAATATAAAATCTCAATGTAACAACCAATGCAACAGCCGACAGTTCTTACTTGAAAGAAAGACACTATATTTGACAACCGACTAGTACTGCTGATTTCACACATATTGAGCTCCTCCCCCACATTTAAGAAAATCCCCTGGTATTATACCTAGTTGTGATCTAAAAACAATGGGCTGATTTTGGAGTTAAAGTAAACCCCCACCCACTACAAGTGAGTTTGTGTAAAAGGCGACTATATGCAGCAAATAAAACATTTTCTTCCTGTGAGAAAAATGGAAAACTTACGAGAGGAGTGGTGTTGTAGCCGGCGTTGTTCGTAGTCGTTGCCGTTACCTGTGAACAAGAGAAGGAACTTTTGTGAACTTTGAGCAGAATAAAAAATAAGTTACTTTACTCTCCCTGACCTCTTTTTTTTTTTTTTTTAAATACAGGCTTTACAGTGCTCGCAGCTGCAAAAGGTCATATGAGCACCAAAGGGTGGATGTCAACAGAGAAATCCTTACAGGGAATCAGACTTACTCTGCTCACCTCTCTTCCTTCAACAGCACAAAGTTTGCTTCAACTATCAAGGCATCCCGGAAATAGCGGGTCACAAGAGTGTGACAAACATACAAAAGAAGTAGAGGATAAAATGACGATAGTAAGGATTAGGAAAGAAGAAGCAGCTGTTCCCTGTTGCAGTTCAGGCACAGTTATGAGCATGACATTGATGAATCAGCCCATTAACAATTCTACTGTGCCTAAAAACAGGTTAATGTCCCCCCTTTGGGAATGGCCTAATGACACTTCTGTACCTAACAGTATCGAGAGGAAAATAATAATAATAAATAATAAATAGCATTTGTATAGCACATGTCCCCACTTGAAAGCAAGCTCTATGCGCTTTATACTATATTATTACCCCAGCAGACCATAGAACACTCAGAAACATTCTCAGCTTCCCGGGAAGCATAAGAGTGCAAGCAGCTGGTTAAGCGCTCAAACACTAACAAACTGACAAGATCCTTCACTGTCTATAACTGGGTGTACCCATTTCCACCTGGGTGAAGAGGGAAAAATTCGTGGAAAGTGCCTTTCTCAAGGACACAACGTCGGGCCCGCTGCTCCAACCCTCGAATCGCAACCTCACGATTACGAGTCGTGTAGCCTAACCACTGGGCCACCGACGCCACATAGAGAAGCAAACGTCTTTCTCTTGTTTGTAGTATCGCCTGTTGCAAATGGTCATGTTGTGTTTTTGTCTTATGTTTCTCTGACCCATTCCATCCAACTTTTCCTGGGCCTGCTCCTTCTTCTTCTGTTTCCGTGTGATCTCTGGTTGTACGCTCTCGGTGTTAACTGTCTGGTGGCAGTCTTGACAGATGCAAGCCCACACCATTCAATTCATTGTAATATTTTAATCTCTGTGTATTGTAGCCAGGAAAGTCGAGTCAATTTGTTCTGTGATACTCTCACTTTTCACCTTCTTTCTTTTTGTCATGTTTGTAGTCATTTGACAACTGTTGATTTTGCTTTGGTGGCTTTTGGTTATTGTCCATCTCAGGGCTGGGTAGCACAGTGTTGGTTTGAAGATAATGTTAATAGGTTATCATTCTTAAACAATAATAGAGCGGTTTTTTCTTGCTTTCTGTGTAACAGTTTTAGTTTTAGTAAGAGTTTAATTGCACTTTCAACAGAAATAGGACAAATAAGCGCTGACGATTAGAGGTGCTACTAGAGAGTAACAAAGAAAAGAGGGAGGAGAGGTAAGGGCAATAGAGGATGGATACGAAAGGAAAAAAAAACAAAAAAAGAGCGCCTGCAAACCACTCATTATGTCTAATACAACCGTTTGATACACTGACACCTCATAAGCATATCATCAAAACACTGTGTTTATATATACAACTTCATAAGAGAAATCAGGCACTCGTCATAAATAGCGAAATCAAAGAAAGCAACATTTTTCTGACCCTTTTGGGCACTTTTTATCAAATTTGTTTTTCCGATTGGGTGCGGCTGCATTGGAAGATATTGCAAACTCATTTTAAAAATTCTATATATGTGTATTTTATTGAAAAACTTAAATGTCAATTTGTAGTTTTCAAGAACTCTTCAGCTTTGTAAGTCTTCAAATTTTGGCAGCCAATTCCTTGCTAATTTTACCTCTGACACCAGGTGACACCCCCCCCCCCCCCTCACCTTTTTCAAACACAGATGCCTTAACTTCTATTCAAGTAAGATTGATATTTCTTCACCAAAAGCAGAACAAATCGCAACCTCAATGCTTTCTTGTCGTGCTTCCATTTTTAATAACAGTGAAAACAGTTCGTAACAAAGAGTGAGCCTAAGAAGAAGTCCCATTTTCAAAGTACAAAAATAAATGGAGATACGACAAGAAAGCACTGCGGTCGCGAAATATAAACAGGCTTTAGGGGTTTATCAAATACTTTATTAAATTCCCAGAAATTTACGGCAGCCTAGTGAAGGTAGGAGGAGCAGGCTGCGTGACCCCATCAGACGCTACAACAACCAGCTGATGATGGAGACAATCAGCCTGCCCTCATTGAAATGGACCTTTATGAAGAAGGGCGAGGAAGCATGGAGCACCCCATCTTCATAAGACCCCAGTTCTACATTCAAGTATTTAAGCATTTCCAGAATTTGACGAGCGTCTGATCCCACTGTCTGTGTCATGACACCGGAATACCAGAAAAGATTGTGAAGCGCATAGAGCTTGCTGTTGAGCGGGGATTTGCGCTATGCGGGGATTTGCGCTATACAAAAGCTATCTATTACTATACTGACCGTGTTATACGTGTACTGTCCAGGCTGACCGCTGGGGGCATACAGGTCCCGGTACGGCTGAGTGGGTACAGCCACGGGTCCCGTGGGCCCATAAGCCGGGTGGGGCTGCGCGGGAAGGTAGGTGGCCCCGGCCGTTGTACCCTGGGGGTAGGGGGGCTGAAGCGGGGCCGTGCCGTAGCTCTGAGACGCGGGCTGGCCGTAAGGCTGGGTCTGGGCCGCCGGGTACCCTGGGTAGGGTGTCTGGCTCACGGCGGGGGCGGGGTACTGGCCGGGGTACTGGCCGGGCGGGGGTGGGGGCGCGGACGGGGCGCTGCCATCCCCAGGCTTGTTGAACAGCTCATCGTAGGAGGGTGGTGGCGCTTGGCTCGACGGGTCTGTGGGACAAATACAGAGCGACTGCTTTGTTACATAAATGATTTTAACTTTTTTTAGTTTTGAAATTTAAAAAATAATAAGTTTTAGGAAGAGTTTTACGGCACTTGCAACACAATTAGGTCATATAAGTGCTGAAGATTAGAGAAGTAACAAGAGAGTATGAAATATGACAAAGGAGGAGAAATAAAGACGATAGTTGTTTGATGGGAAAGAAGGAGCAAACTACACCAGAGCACCCCCCAACCAAATAATAATATTTTAAAAAATTATTATTAAATACAATAATAATAACAATATAGATCTAACAATAACAAAAATAATAATTGTATTAATAGAGTGGATAGCAATGCTCTATAGTATGGTATATGCGCTGTACAACTTTTTATCCCCCCAGCAGACCATAGAACACTCAAAAACATTATATTAATAGTAGTTTCTTCTGTGAAGCAGCCTCTACAGCTTCCAGGAACCTCTGATAAACAAAAACATAAGTGAATATTTTGCTAAACAAGCTAAACCAGCATATGTGGCATAATGGTTAGATGCTTCACTTTCGCACGCAGGAGAACGGAGTTCGATTCTTGAGTGGTGAGAATTTCTGTTCAGCATCTCGGTCTCTCTGCTGGGATGTTGTATCCCTCTAGTCTTTGACAAACGACTGATTGTTTGTCCGCTGACAACTGAGACAAAAATCTTGAATTTTTTTTTCACATAATATAACGTGAATCTTGTGACGGAGTGAAACTTTAATCCATTCACCATATACTTATACAAAGACTAGAACTTTTTGATTGTTTACGACCAAATTAAAGAATGATAAGCAAGAAAGAGAAAATGGAAGTGGATTGGGCACATCTTGAGAAAACCGCAAATAAACTATAACAATACAAATCAAGCCTCAAGATGGAATCGACAAGGAAAGAGAAAGACAGGATGGCCTATAAGTACTTCGAGGAGGGACTTAGACTCCGACCAAAGGAGACGGGATACAGCTGGATAGAGGAGGAGACAACAGCCCAGTGCAAAAGTACATAGAGAGCTCTTGTCGGTGGCTTTTATACTCTGGTACAGGGTGAGAAATGATGATGATGATGATGATGATGATGATGACGATGACGATGATGATGGATGATGACGATGATAATGACGATGACGATGATGATGATGATGAAACAGAGAAACAAATTATATGTCAAAGTGTCGAATCTTAAATTCTTGAAGACAATGCACACCAGGTTTTTTTCCCATCTTTACTTTGTAATTTGCCCACCTTGTTTTCCATGAACATTTTGAATTTGCAGTTTGAGTCACCCACTGTCATGTGTTCCGATACAGTAGCACCCCATTTAAAATTTCGTGAAGTATTTGTATTTTTGAATGTGTTTAACACTTTGCAGTCACACAGCCAGCAGTACAAAATACCCCATCTGGTCACCCAGTCAGAAGAGTGACAGCTTCGGACTTCTCGAGTCTCATGCAGAACTTTACTACGCCAGGTGACCGTAAGGGACGATTTTCACCAATCACAGTGGCATTATTGTGCCAGGCGACCACAAGTTTAAAAATCGCCAATTCAAGTCAAGTCACGAGAGAAAAAATACAGTTAAACAGTTGGGAATTTCGCTAGGTGCAGTGATCTCCCACAACATTGAAAATATGACATTTGTCAAGACCTACCAGCCATCTCTACTCTCTAGGAAAGGTTTTTGCACAAATTTTGGAATCCTGCTTGAAACTACAACGTTGTATCACAGTAAATTCATCTGCAATAAAGAAAACATAAAACAGCTTTAATATAATAACATTCCTCTAGTAATATGTGTATATATATATATATATATATTTATATATATACAATTTAACAGCATTTGTATGGTACACATACCCCAGAAAAATTCTTTCATGAACAAAGTGACCTACACTAGCATTGTTTAACTTCACATTTGACTTTGAGCCTGCATCAGAGTTGTCCAAACAACCACCACCACTACAGGAATTTTGATAGTCTGGCCAGCAATAACAGCGAGACAGGGGAATATCGCCTGTAATTGCTAGGACTATATTTGGATGAAACTAATATAAATTATAATTATAATATAATCCCCTTCCTCAATAGGGCCAAAAGGGTAGTAGTAAGACATGATTTTAATTTGTCTTCCTCAGTCTTCATTTGTCCGGAGTGTTACAACTGATCATGTATCTCGTTTTCATTCACTATGATTACTGTCCATAGGTGTGCATTACACCACACCAGTGGTTGAACTGATTTTCTAGAAACATTTGTGTGTGTGTGTGTGTGTGTGAGGTTTACTCTCATAAAAATATACTCATCGCTATCACTGTAAAGTGAGATACCCCACTCAAGAACTGGACTCGGGCTTCCTGCATGTAATGGTGGAATGCCAAACAACTAAACCATAGAGGCAAATATGTAGCGTCAGGGTTGGTGATTTTTTAGATTTTTAAAATAAAAATTTTTAAAATCGATTTTTTAAATTTAAATCAAGATTTTTAAAATTTAAATCGGATTTTTAACAATTTTTTTATTTAAAAAAAAATATCGACACAGTTTGGGATTTTTGGTTGAGACTAAAAGTATGTTCTTTTAGTGCAAAATGCATTGTCTTTATTTTAACTAATGATTAATTTAAGCAACCGCAAAAGAAAGCCTTAATCTGCTAATATATATATATATATATATATATATATATATATATGGCTACAGACAAAACATGAAGAAAATGTCAGTCTAAAAGGAAGGGGGGGGGGGAGGGGGGGTAATTATGCATAGATAAACTTGCATTTTATTACAGTGTGTGTGTGTGTGTGTGCGCGCGCGCTTGTGTTTGTCTAAAAAGAAAAAGAAAATGTTAATTTCAATAATGAAAAAAAAGTAAATAACCGGAGGTGAGAATAGAAATACGATCGACCTCTCACCCCGGGTGACACTTGCCACCGTAGGCTATTCTCACCCGGTGTGAAACAAGACCTGTTTTTCCTAATTTCGGAATACTTTTTATCGATGTGGATGATCAAATGGATAAAGGCAAAGAAAAGATTACGTTATAGCACAAAAGTAAGCTAATTTGATCGTCTACAAAGATGCTATGGCTATTTCACTTTTCGAATCGAGCCGAACTAGGGGGGTCGCCATTTTGTTTTGCCCGGAAGTTCTTGCAAGATCTACTCCTCCCCTCTTCTCTCTCTCTGTATCTTTTTGAATACTGTCTATCGGTGTGGACGATCAAATTGACCAAAACAAAGTAAAAAAAAAGATGTTAAAACACAAAAGTAAATTAATTTGGTCGTCTACAAAGATGCTACGGCTATTTAAATTTAACTTTTCGAATCGAGCCGAACTACGCGGGTCGCCATTTTGTTTTGCCCGGAAGTTCTCGCGCTACTCCTCTCTCTCTCTCTCCACTGCCCACAGACAAAATTGTACGCTTTTTAATTTTAGTAGGCTAACAATAGAATGGAACATTTGTTCACAGCACAGAATTCTACAATTTTTCAGTTATCACAGTGTAGAATTCTGTGGTTTAGGGTGAACGCCAAATTGGTTGGCCTAGATCTAGGCTATAACAGTGAACGGACACCGGGTGAGAATAGCCAAAAGACTCGCCTGTGCTATTCTCATCCCGAATAGAGGCTGCTAGAGGTGGCCATAAAAATATGGAGGTGGGGGGGTTGAGGGGGGCATGCCCCCCTGAATTTTATCCTAATATGATGTTTTGCAGTTAGGTTGCATCCCTGCTCTTTGTGTAGCCTAATTCAAATAGAAAGAATTTAGTATTTGGTCTTCAAGACTTCTGGATTTCTTCTCTGGACTGTAAACAAATGATGGATCGTGGACTTTAACGAACGGAACTGTCTTGACAAGACACAAGATCACCGATCTACAATCTACCCCTACCCCTAGCCTTCAATTCTGCTATCTGATAGTGGTCTCTCGTTACGGAAGTCCTCCCATAACCAACAAAAAACGAAATACTTACTAATGTGTCAACCCTGAATAAAATAAACAATCTGAATCGACAGTCATGATCAGGTGGACTTTTATAGACACTTTGGGTGGGGTATTGCAGCAGGCAACAGGCAACTATTTTCTGTTCTGATGTACTTCCGGACTTTCCCTGACCCCAGATTTGATGCTCATTGCTCAATGCAGGGTCAAAGGTTGACGTTTGTGGGTCAAAGTATAGCCTACCTAGATCTATATTCTGACATACTTCCTGTTTGCAAGAAAGCGCATAGACAACAGACTAGAGTGCTTAACTTTCTTTAATGTTCTATTCTGTAAAGTACCCAGAAAGGGAAAAAAAAAAAGCCAGCATTGATGCGCCAGTATTTTATGATATAAAAGGTTCTCGCTGTCGCCTTAGCCTTGACGGCCATTACTGTGTCTGTGATGCTGTAAAACAAATGACATCTAGATCTACCATGCCATACCAAAGTCCTCATGCTTTAACTAATGTAAAGTATAATAGGATGTTCATGCAGTGCTAACCTGGGCTAAAAAAAAACATTTTCGGACTAACCAAAGCAAATTAATGACTCTCATAGTCATAACAAGTTTAAATTGGCAGTACAATAGTATTATTAAGGCAACCTATAATATCTCAAATGTGCACCTGCCAAAACATAGCCCACATTCCCTTCATTTGTTAGTAATGTTGGCACACTTCTTAAAAGTTTTTCAAAGAAAGTGAAGAGCAGCGGCCATGACAGTATGTAATCTAGAAAGACAAGTCTATGTTAAAAGGTATTTATGGTGACAATTAAAAAAATATTGTGACCGGTTTAAGGCCATAATTTAGGGGTACAGTGAAGTTAGTTTAGTTTTCGTAAGTTTTACGGCACTTGCAATTGCAACACAATAAGGTCATATAAGTGCCGAAAATAGATTAGATCTAGACAAGTAACACATTTTTAAAAAAAGAGTAACAAACACAAAAAGAAGGAGAAATAAAGCCGATAGCATCATAGATGTTTGAGATATAGGAAAGAAGAGGCAAACCACACCAGAGCACCCACCAACAACCCATGCTGTGAAGTTAATGTAATTTATTATAAAACAAGAAAAGGTAAGATTTGATTTGATAAGACAAGATTTACAAGGAAAATTCTAGGTGCATATTCCAGGACATTGACAATAACAGATTAGGCATACATAGGCCCTTCGTGTAGACCTACAGTCAAACCTCGTTATGCCGCCTATCTTGGGATGCTCATCATAAAGTTGGCGGTATAGAACGGGATATACCACCACCGATTGTCATCTTGACAAGTGGTAGTGGTAGACTGGTGGTAGAGACTATAGACAAACTATGGCCTGTCTTCCCTATTCTAGATCTGCTTTGCACGATTGCAAAGTGTGCAGGGGGAAAATATTATGTAGGCCTAGTAACTAATTGCATGTAGGATATACAGCTCTAGCTAAACTTGAAGTAAATTCAACTTCAAACAAGCTATAGTATCAGAAGCTGGGCTGTGTTGTGTCATGGACCCTGCAGGGCCATTCGAATGTTAACTGACAGGACAAATATATTATCAGGTATTTCTTCTGTCTAGTGTCCAGTCAGTTACCGAAACTAAACACGTCACAGAATTTTCATGAAGTTTTTTTTCTTTCAAATGACTATCCAAGTTAACACTGCGTTAATTTTAGGCCAAGAAAATATGGTCTATCTATATGTATTTTGTCTTCCTTTCTTTTCTTTTTTCTCCCTACCTTTTTTAGAGCATCATGGTGGACGTCAACTTTGTAAAGATCCTCCCCCCCCCCCCCTCTTTCTGAGCTGACGTCATATTTCGTGAACGGTCCATCACCTACTAGTACTAGCCTTCGGTATGCCAAGACCGTTTGACTCAGTGTGTGTGGTTTGTTTGTTTGTTTGAGCAAAGAGAAGCACATAGGAATAATAATGGTCATGTATTTAGCGCTGGGGAAAAAGTAAGACAGAAGGAGAGAAACAGCAGAGTGAAAATAAAGAAGTAGGACCTTTCACTACTACAAGTGGCGCCCTCCAACCACCCGCTCCGTTTGAGTGGGCCTACAGGTATAGGTATAGCTTTCTTTCTCAAGCTAAATACAGTGGAGTCCGCCTCAAGTGAACACGCTTTATTTGAAAAATCACGTAAAGTGTAGCCTCAAGTGAACACGCTTTATTTGAAAAATCACGTAAAGTGTAGCCTAAAGTGAACGATATTCTGTGGTCCCGATTGCAACGTTTTTTTGTCTTTTTAAAAAAAGATAAATAAAATGGACCGGTTTCATGGGGAAATCGGATAAAGCAAAGGCCCAAAATGAGTGAAAGCGAAGAACGGATCGACCGTGCCACTGTTTTCAAGCAGTGGATAATTATATTTTTGGCCCTAGGCATCGGCAGACAATTCCAGCTACGCGTTGACCAATGGCTATCTTAATCAGAAAGAAAGAGCTCTAGTCTAGACTCGCCCGCTGTGTTGTTCCCCCATCCCACTTCCACCCTAGACTGCGAGTAGCTACTGTTTCTAGGCCTCCACCCCACCAAAATGGTTAAACTGAACCTCGGATAAAGTGAACACTTTCTTCTGGTCCTAAAGAGTTCACTTTTAGCGGACTCAACTGTGACTGTACGACATGTATGTATATGTCTATCTATCTATCTATCTATCTATCTATCTATCTATCTATCTATCTATCTATCT